AGTCAAATCCCACCTGCATTTAAAGCACTCTGTGCCTCAGTTTCCTCATTTGTGAGGTAGGTATGAAAACGATGTCTATTTCACAGGGCACTTGCGATGCTTAAGTGAATTCATACATGTGAAGTCCCTAGAATGCTACCTAAGTGTTAGTGAAGTAGCTGAATGAAAGTGTTTTTGTCTTTGGGTTACATGGGTTCTTTTTTTTTCTTTTTAAAAAGATTTTGTTTATTTATTTTTGAGTAGAAGACCTGGGGTGTAGGTCAGCAGTGCAGGTGGGTGAAAGGATTCGCCAGAGACAGAGTGGGGAGCAGAACAGGCAGATCTACTGAAATGCAGTGGGTGAGAGGAGAGGTAGGAGAGGTCTGCTGCGCCTTGTGGGTTAGCTCCCTGGCCTGGGATCAGACTCAGACCTACTGAGGCTAGAACTCAGCCCACCACAGTGGGCACTCTCGATGATAGCACTGAGACTTAAGCCCTAGGCCACATGGGTTCTTTATAATCAATGTCTGAATATTTTTTTCCCCACACACTTCCAGGTCATATAGCTCTCTTTCTTCTAACCAAGATTTTCCTTAATCTTAAATGAGCCCCTTTTTTTGAAACCAACACTGTGCAATAGGAGTAGAATGTAGTTTGCTTTTTTAAGTAGGATATGCCTTGGGTAAAGCTGGCTTGATTGTGGTAATAAGAGCTTTCCCCATCTCTCCCTTGGCCCATTCTAGGATGAATTTGAACATCTTTCCTCCACTTCATTATTGTAAGTTTGTTTGAAGGGAGCCTCATTTCGCCATTTCCAGATTCTTGGGAAGAGTGGAAGGCACCTCACTTTCATCTCCATGAGCTAGTAGTATTATGACCTCTGTACATACTCTAAAATCTGAGAAGAAGTTCTATTCTAGTTTCAATAGTGATGGGAATGGACCATCTACTTACTCCATAAGTGTTCTTTCCCCTGACGCTTCCTGACTACAACTTCTTTCCAGTCCACAGTGTTCCCAGCACACTGCCTGAATATTTTCCTAAGATATTTGCTTCTGATATTTCTGATGCCTGTGAAAACATCCTCAAGAGAAGTAGCATCCCCTGCTCTCAGTTATTTATATCAATAATATTCAGCCTGTGGCTCTTCCAGTGCCACTGTTGGTTCTTCAGCGCCCTGTAATTTTGGAATTGGAATGTCATAGTCTCCTAGATTCAAGTTACATCTCACAAGTTCTTTTATAACTTAAAAAACCTATTTTTTAGAACAGTTTTAAGTTCATAGCAACACTGAGTGAAAGGTACTGGAGTTTCCCACATAACTCCTGCCTCTTCATTTTTCTCCTTCCCGTCTCCTGTTCCCTGTCCAAACCTTTTGTACTGGGCAACACCACAGGAGGCTTCTGAGCTAGGGCCCTGGAGACCTTTAACAAGAGGGAATCCTTGGTCCTCCCTGGTGGCCCAGGGGTTAAGCTAAGCCCTGAGTTCGATCCCACTCAGGGAGCTACCCACCTCTCCTGCCTCGCCCACTGCTCCCCTCAGCAGTGTATTTCAGTCGAGCTGCCTGGTCTGTTCCCAGCTCTGTCTCTGGTGAATCCTCTCACCTCCGACACCTCTGGCCTGTACCCCAGTTCTTGTATGCATAAATAAATAAATCTTAAAGAAAAAAAAGATTTGTAAATCGGGGCCCCTCTGGTGGTGAAAGGGGTTAAGTCTCAGCACTATCAAGCTATTGCCAGCCACTGCAGTATGAGTTTGATTCCCCGGCCAGGGAGTTAACCCACATGGCACAGCAGACCCTTCCTGTCTTGCCCGCTGCTCCTCTCAGCAGTATATTCCAGTAGATCTGCCCATTGTGCTCCCTACTCTGTCTCTGGACCCCCTGCACCTCTGGCCTACACCCCAGTTCTGGTATGCATTTAAAAAATTGTAAATCATCACAAGTCTTCCTTTTAGTCTTTTTTTCCTAGAAGTATATAGGAAGTATTTTTGTTTGGAGTGAAAATAATCCCAGTCATTTTATCATTGCAAACAAAAATACTTCCTTTGTACCTCTTTTTTTTTTTTTTAAAGGAAAGACTTAAAGGAAGGCTTTCTGATGATTTGCAAATCTTGATCTTGTTTCCTTGCCATTCTTTATCTGTCCCTGGACTTTGAATTAGAAAACTTGAGTTCTAGACCTGGTTTTGCCACTAACTAGCTGCATGACAAGTAGCAAGTCGTGCAGCCTTTTGGGAATTGTACTTTTCCCACCTGAGTGGGCAAAGTGGATGATTTTGAACATCTCTTCCAGTTCTAGAAATAAACTATTGTTGGGGTCATCCTGTAAGACTCCAGAGACATATAGATTTGGTACAGGATCCATTTGCTGTGTTTTCTGGGTTCAGTGCCCAGTTCAAAGTCAAGACCTTCTCAGTGAAGAGACAAAAAGTCCCAGAAGCTACTGAGTGGCAGTATCCCTAACTCTGAGCTTTAAAAAAGAAATGAATCTTGGAGCCACTTTGAGCTGCCCTCAGTATATCTTCTGAAAACCTCAATTCATTTTAAGTGTTCTGCTGAGGTTGTAATGCTGGGAAAGTTCAGGTATACCCAACATGTCACCCCTTCAAAAAAAATCACCCTGAAACCAATACTTAGTGAAAAGTCATGTTTATATTGTGTGTGTTCTGGGTGGGGGGCGGGGCAGTAGGGCACTGCTTATATTCTTAAGCAAAAAGGACCTGATTTCTGTGCTCCAGAGTGATTGTTAAAGAATAAGGATACCCATTTTACAGGTAAAACAATTAAATGTACAGTTAAGTAAATGTATTTAAGGTATCTGGTTAGTGAGTGATAACTCTGGAAATTAATTTGTCTCTTAAAATTATGGAAAATAGGGCCTCTCTGGTGGTGCAAGCTATCAGCAGCTTCTGCAGCACAAGTTCGATCCGTGGTCAGGGAGCTGACCCACATTGCACTGCAGACCTTTCCTGTCTCACCCGCTGCTCCCCTCAGCAGTGTATTTCAGTAGCTCTGTCTGTTCTGCTCCCCACTCTGTCTCTGGTGAATCCTCTCACCCCCCACACCTCTGGCCTACACCCCAGTTCTTGTATGCATAAATAAATAAAAATAAACCTTTTGAAAAAGAAAAAATTATGGAAAATGTGTATTATAGAGGTCGAGGTTTTGGGAAAGGCAGGGGATCCCCAGGGGTCATGGAGGAAACTTTGAGCAAAAAGATGGTTCCCAGTCCAAAGGAGTGTTGCCAACGCCACCTTCCCAGAGGGCACTGAGTGCTTTTATGGGCATTTTCTCATTGCTTTCCCACACCATCCTTACGTGGAGTAGGTGATCCAGCTCTCTTGGCTGGTAGATGTGGGAGACAGGCTTGCACCCTGGCTCCTGGTTGCACATACCGTGTCCTGATCCTCTACCTCTTGAAGAGGACTAGAAAAATGAAACTGGAGAGGGGTCATTTGGAACAAGAAACCACTGCTTGTCAATGTTCTGGGAGAAGAGTGAATGCTTATGTGTGCTGGGATTTTTTTTAAATTGCCATGACCCAGAGGAGGAAAAAAATGAATTACCCAAGTGGAAACAGCCTCCAAAATTACTGTTTAAGGCACAAGCTCTAATCAGCTTTGAGGGTTTGCAGAAAACTTATTGAAGCTATTGGCAGTGACTATTGTTTTGGTGCCAGGGTTTTTAATTGGAGGAGATGGTTAAAAGAGACCGAAGAGGAGGGCTGTTATTTCAAGCTGAAACCAATATTGCTTAGTGGGGAATTTGCTGGGTTTGTGAGTTTGGGGGTTGGTTACTGCCTAGAAGAGTTCCCAGACACACTCCCAGCTGATTCTGAGGGGCTCTGAGGAGGGTCAACATGCGTATTCTTGGTAATCTTTGTGGACTTGCACCACAACTACTCAGCGTTTAAATTCTGAGGCCTGTCCTTAGCCGGAAATGGTAAAGGAATCAGCAGGAAACCAAAAACAAGGGAAAGGAAACTCCTCCCTCCTGTCAAAGGACAGCAAGAACAAGGATGAAAATGGAAAGTGGGCCCTGTAGAAACAGTGGTGAAATAGAGAGTGAGTGAATCTTGAAAGGAAGTGAGGAAAAAACACAGGTCTCAAGGGCAAGGATGTGCAGTAAGTGGTCTTTAAGGTGTGACTTTCTATGGAAGCAGTGCCTGGTGTTCCGCAGTGGCCAGGAGTCTGCGCCCTGACCCAGGACCAGGGAAAATGCTGTTCCTTTATTTACAGGGGACAGTGGCTTGTGTGTTTTCTGAGCCCCACAAGCCTACTGAGAGGACAACTTCCCCTTGTTCTTGATTTCTGGCTTATTGAAGGCCAGAGGATTAAAAAATCAAGTTGAAAAATTTCACCAGGAGAAATCTAATCATAAGAAATACAGAGTGTTGCAAAATCATGAGGGATGCAAAATCATGTTTCTGTCTCACTCAAGAGGAGGAGGGGGAACCAAAAATCCTTAGTCTAGTCTTAAGGTAGAGGGAGAGCCAGCGAACCAATAGGAGAAACTGAGTCTGAAAGAGGAAACCATTTATCTGAAATCCAGCAACTCCGTCTTGTAGAGTAGAAGTCAGCTTTGAAGTTTCACTTCTTGAGCTTGGCTCAGTGACTTCTCTTACTCCGAGGAAAAAGAAAATGAAGACATTTTTACATTGAGGGGATAAGAAGGCAACACCTAGCTTCCTTTTCTCTTCAAGTGCAGTGGGCTCAGCATGAGCAATCTTGTGTTCAACCAGCTAACTGAAGAAAGGAAAAACAAACTGTATCAAGTGCTGACTCTACTGTTTTAGTGGGAAATTTTTCTAACAGACAAGTGGCAAACAACAAAACTTTTGAAAATTCAGGCCTGGGGAGAGTCCAGTACAGTTTCATAATGGGTATGGATAGTTATTTTGCTGCCTTTCCCCCACCTCCTAATCTTTCTGGGTTTTGATGTAGATCTCTTTCTATTTGTTCAGGAAACTGTGACGTGTGTTGTGGGCAGGGTTTGAGGTTTTGGAACTTTTTCTAAAAGGGACAGACAACACGCTGCTACATTTCCTAACCGTGAGGTTGGTGTGCGAGGCTGTGGAGCTGAAGTGAGCTGTCACCATGCAGGTCCTCCACCGAGGCGGGCGGCTGATCCTGGCCCTGGCCCTCATCCTGGTTTTGGGTTTTTCTGTTCAAGGTAAGACGCAGGAATCGAATCCCCCCATAATCTTTTTTTGTAGGCCCTAGGGTCCACACAAATTATTAGATTCAATTTAAGCTACAGGATGTATAATACTGTGGGAAAATAGGCCAAGAGAAAAGGAGTTGGGGTGGCGGAACTGCTTAGTGTGAGTTTGGTTTAGTTTGGTAGCAAGAAAAATTTAACCTGAGGCAGGTGTGGCCTTGTAGACTGTTACATTGATTGAAATGGGCTATTTTATAAAATTTATAAGCCACACATGGAAGAAATGTGTGGCTTATACATTTTAAAAAGCTCAAGAAAGGAATACTAAAATGAGCTAGGTGCCTGTTGCGTGGAGATGGCATCCCGAGTATTTCGGAGCATCTATTCCCCTGAGCCTTTGCTCAACCCCAAGTTTTAATGTATTATAGTGGCTTTGTAATTACTGTGGCACCAGGAAATGTTATCTTTAAAATCGGCGTAAATTTAACTGTGTGTACTTTTTCTTCTTTTTAAAATGTGGTTCTAGTGAGAATCCAGTTGTGGTTAAACATGTTTAAATACAAAACCCTCTCCAATTTCAGAAAGAGGCAAAGGATTTTAGGATTTGTCCTTTTGCTTGGAGAAATATCACATTTGGAAATTTCTTGTTAACTTTCTCTGCCATTAGGGTTGTTTACTCAGACTGAAACAATTTAAAACCTTTAATGAGTAAGAAAATAAAAACATTCAGTTTGCAAGAAAAACACAATTCTTCTCCTTTGGTAAATTAGGGATCATGTCTAAATAAGACAAAAGGTCATGGCCTGATAAGTAGATAGGAGAATTTATACTGAAATATACTAAGTTGCCCCAAATCATAAAGGAAATACTGAGTCAGAGTGACACATATTGTCCTGGATTTGTTTCTTCTAAGTGACTTCTGATTGTCCTATTATAGTGACAAAGTGAAATGGTATAGGTGATCACAGATATATTCATTATGTCTTGGAAATTTATAAGGTCATTTTCTTCTTGTTCTGCTAATATTAAAAATAAAGAGCAACTATGTTGCTGAAACTTTCCCACTAACCTATTTATTTTTTAAAATGTGAAACCTTGTTGACTGTAGGGAACAAGTTTTACTTTGACAGGGTCTTGAGCAACGAAGTCCGTATTTATAGCTGAGATTTGAATGACCAGTTGGAGGTGGGTCTATGAAGGCCAGAATTATATAAGTCTTTATATCTTCAAAATTTCCCAGAAAGGTCAAATTCCCCTCTGAGTCAATATGCTATGCTAGCATTAAAATAAAGACATCTTTCATGTGTTTATTACATCTTTTGTGTAATATCTATTCAATAGAAAGAAGTGAAGAAACCCTCATGAAATCGTATAAAGTACTAGAATTTATGTCATCACCTGGTAGATTTAACTCTGTGTTGGAAAAGGAAACCAAAAAAGAGAGAATGAATGAACTGAAAAACTAGGATGTTTCCAAAGAAAAAGAGCACTTGGTGTTGAAATTAAGGACTTGTGCCAAAATCTGAATAAAAAGGGAAATAGCTGCGTGAGTGAGTGTGTTGGCAGCTCAAGGCTGCAATGCAGAGAGCCATGCCCCACGGTGCATCCATGTAGTGCCAGAAATGACTGGGTAACTCCCTTTCTCCACTTTAAAATTTTTATTTAACCCATTGTTTTGCCTGAACTGATCAAATTAACTAGCCTTTTGGCCTGCTTTTCTGAGCATATTCAAAACACCTTAAGTTTCTGCATTAGTTTTTGCTAGGGCTGTCATAAAAAGCACAGACTGGGAAGTTAAACAACAGAAGTTCATTTGCTCACAGTTCTGGGAGCTAGACGCCCGAGGTGTCGGCAGCTGTCATTGAGGCCTCTCATTTTGGCATATGTATGACTTCGTCTTCCTGTGTCTTCACAAGCTCCTTTCTCTTTTTGTGTCTGTCCCAATTGCCTCTTCTCCAAGGAGATCAGTCATAGTAGATCAGAGCTCATCCCTATAGACCTCAGTTTATCTCAATAACCTCTTTTATGGCTGTATGTCCAAAATACAGTCCCATTCTGAGGTACTGGGAATTAGGACTTCAACATATGAATAGCAGACGTAATTTAGCACACATAGGTTACTTTAAGTCAAACCCTAATAAAGATATGGCGTGAAACCATTTTAACCAAATGCAAAGAAATTGAAATTTGTCAATGTGTGAGACCCTGGAGAGCACAGAGGGCTAATCGATTTGTTTATTTATTTATTTATGTTTAAAAAGATTTATTTATTTATTTATACAAGCACTGGGTACAGTCATAAGTGCGGGAGGGTGAGAGAATTCACCATAGCCAGAGCAGGGAGCAGAACAGGCAGACTGACGAAGTACACTGCTGAGGGGAGCGTGGCAGGAGAGGTCTGCGCCATGTGGGACCCTTGCTGGAGGCCGGGGATCGAACCGGTGCTGCAGAGGCTGCGGGCAGCTTCGCAACCCAGCACTCAACCGCTGCACCACCAGGGAAGACCCAGCTAATCGATTTAATGTAAAGTTCAGGGGGGTTATTGATAAGGCCTGTGAATCCTGGACTCTTATTACTTCTATTTTTCCAAAGAGACAATGGAAAATCTACAAGCAGTGTGGCCAAGGGGTCCAGAGCCTTGCCGTGTGTCTGTTCACACTGCCTCCTAGACCACAGAAATGACACCTTGCACACCCGCTGTTCACCTCCCTAAGACTTGCCCAGGGTTCGTTAAAACTAATTAATGACCAAATTGGTCTTCTGATTTTAAGGTCAGAGTCAACTTTCTACTGCAACTCAGAGGTCTAGTAGGTGAATTAGAGATTTTCTTTATTTAAAACAAAACAAAAAAAAGGCCTTCTCTCTATAGCTTAGCCCTGGCTATAAAGTTTATCATTCAGTTGAGGAGCAGAGAGAGAAATTGAAAGTAAACCTGGAACATTTTGTAGCTTTTTCTCAAACCCTGCAAGAACTTTGTCCATCTTGTGGAGTTGATTGCCCACTAGGAAGTAAAGCCGAAAGTAAAGCAACTGTGGTAAATTGGTATAAAAAGTCTAAAACTTATCCCCGAGTTCTCAACTTTTAAAATTTATAGAAAAGTGTTTCTCTTTAGGTAATGCAAGTGTTCTAAAACTGACTATGGTGACAGAGTTTGCATGTTACCAAACAATGAATCAAAATGGTCCCCTCCACCCTCACCATGGAAATTTCTGCTTAAGTTTCTCTAACTCACCTACAAGTTTCCAGTATGAAACTTAACTTCTTAACTTCTTAAATTCTAGGAAGTTAATAATTTGTAATGATGTTGGGGAAAATTTATATTAAAATGTTATAAAAGACAGGTTACTGGGGTAAGTTTTTTGCTCTGGTAATGTCTGGCCTGTACCCCAGCTCTTGTATGCATAAATAAATAAATCTTTAAAAAAATAAAAAATATTTATTTATAGAAAGTGTTTGGGTGAAGCAGAACTAGTTATTATGTATGTGTGGGGGCAGGTGGGTGGGCAGTGAGGAAAGGGATTCTAAGTAAAAGCCACCCTCTTCTCTAAAACCCACCACAAAATTAACTAGCACATCCAGTGAGAGGGGACTTTTAAGAAGTTAACCTTCCTGTACATGAAGTTCTATTTTTTAATTCCTCCTTTTCTTTCTTCCTTTTGTTAGAAATGGAAGAAAGAAAAAGGGGAATAATTTTTGATATTTAAAAATTAGTTTATAACACTACCTTTTATTGTTTTAATTATGATAATTATGACATTTCTCTTAAGCCAAGATAACGATAGGGTACTCCCACAAGCTCAGGGGCTAGGACTGTTGAATTTTCATATTCTTCGAATATCCTTAAATAGATATGTCAGGAATTTTGTGTCTGTAATTTATATTCTTGTTTTTTAAAGTAGATTGAAAGTCATCAGTCCCCTATTAAATAGACTTTTGGAGTGGAGGAGTGGAGAATGTCTACCTTCGATTTATAAAATTTTAGACAGCTTTACTGATAGAGTTCAGATACCATATAGTTCACTGATTTGAAGTATATAATTCAGTGTTTTTTAAAGTACATTTACTGATATACACAACACACACACACACACACACACACACACCTCTGTCACCATAGTCAGTTTTAGAACACTTGCATTACCTAAAGAGAAACACTTCTCTATAAATTTTAAAAGTTGAGAACTCTAGGATAAGTTTTAGACTTTTTATACCAATTTACCACAGTTGTGTTTGGTACACCAGTGAAAAGATGTGTCTTTCACATGCAGACTTCCTCAGAAAGTATTGGTTTTACTTATCTATTTAACTTCCAATCTATGCAAACATTTCCTCAGTTTGTTCTTCAGCACATCAGCCCCATTTAGAGAATACCTAGACCTGCTCTGTCCAAACTGGTAGCCACGAGCCACCTCTAGCCACTGAACACTTGAAATGTGTGAAATGTGGTGAGTCCAAACTGAGACATGCTGTGGGCGTGAAAGAGTCCAGTTGCAAAGTCTTAGAATGAAAAAAGAATGTACAATATTAACTAATTTCTTTTTTTAAAAAAGTATTTATTTATTTATGCATACAAGAACTGGGGTGTAGACCAGAGGTGCGAGGGGTGAGAGGCTTCACCAGATACAGGGTGGGGAAAAGAACAGGCAGACTGACTGAAATATACTGCGGAGGGGAGCAGTGGGCGAGTCGGGAGAGGTCTGTTGCGCCATGTGGATAGCTCCCTGGCTGGCTGGGGATCGCTTCATAGTGCTGTGCTTAACCCCTTGTACCACCAGGGAGGCCCCAATATTCACTAATTTCTTTTTTTTAAAGATTTATTTATTTATGCATATAAGAACTGGGGTACAGGCCAGAGGTGTGGGGGGTGAGAAGATTCACCAGAGACTGAGTGGGAAGCAGATCAGGCAGACTGACTGAAATACACTTCTGAGGGGAGCAGCAGGCAAGACAGGAGAGGTCTGCTTCGCCATGTGGGTTTCTCCCTGGCCGGCCAGGGATTGAACTTGTGCTGCAGTTGCTGGGGATAGCCTCATAGGTTGCATCTTAACCCCTTGAGCCACTAGGAAGGCCCAATATTCACTAATTTCTATATTGATTGTTACATGACGATATGTGAACATACCGGTTTGAGTGAAATGTATTAAAATTATTTTTACTTGTCTATTTTTACTTTTAAGACAATGGCTGCCATAATAATGAAAATTCCACACGAGGTTCATCATGTCCCTATTGGACAGCACTGGTCTAGGGGGTATAGGATGTGAAGACATTGCCCTCTGCTGGAGCAGATGCTGGATTAGTAGCAGCTAGTAGATGCTACTGAGCAGATGCTGCTAAGTAGCAATTAAATGCCAAACTTAGGCTGCTTTAGGAAATATTCAGAAAAGGAGAAAAAAGGAGCTCAAATATATTATATACGTACCATGTGCATATGTTCACATACTTTCTTTTTTTTTTTTTTTTTTTTTTATTTTATAGAGGCATGTTTTATTTATTTATTTGTTTGTTTGTTTGTTTGTTTATACATGCACTGGGTACAGTCAGAAGTCCGGGAGGGTGAGAGAATTCACCAGGCCAGAGCGGGGAGCAGAGCAGGCAGAAGGACCGAAGTACACTGCTGAGGGGAGCAGCGGGCGGCAGGAGAGGTCTGCGCGCCATGTGGGACCCTCCTCCAGTGGCCGGGGAGCAGCCGGGGATCGAACCGGCGCCGCAGAGGCCGCGGGCAGCTTCGCAGCCCAGCGCTCAACCACTGCGCCACCGGGGAGGCCTGTTCACATACTTTCATCTCACTTGAACAGGAACTCTTTGGGTTACTATTTTTTATGTGTTTTATTTTATACATTTTTACGTCATTTTTCATTTTTATACAATGTTTGCATTTTCATCTTGGTTATAGTTCCCATACAATTCGCATCCCCCTTGTTTTGACCCTACTCCCTCCTCCACCACCACCCCATAGTGGCAGAAACCCCTTTTTACTAGCCCCTAAGTTAAAAGTCAAGAAACCTCTGGTAGGTTGCTAATGGGTCCATTTACATATAATTCTAAAAAATGCAGACTAATGGAAAGCAGATTAATGGTTGTATGGTTGTTTTGGGGGCGGGGGTAGTTGGGAGTCAGAAGGAAGAAAGGCAGGAGTACCCAGGGGCACAGGGAAACTTCAGGGGGTACTGAATATGTTCATTTTCTCAGTTGTCATGATAGTTCCATGGGTGTATACATATGCCAAAACATTATATTGTACACTTTCAATAAATACAGTTAATAGTATATGTCGATTCTACCTTAATGAAGTTATTAAAAAATAAAAGTAATTTTAAATAGGCAGTGCATACCATATGACTTAAAAATCAAAAGGATATGCCATGACAAGTCAGTGTCCTGTCCACTACCTTCCATCAATTCCCTTCACAAAGACAATTTGTTTTATATATTTCAGAGGTGTTCCAGGCATGTAAGCATATATAGGAATGCATTCTTACACATACATACAGTAACACATAATGCGTGATATCCCTTACCTTTTGGGAATAAATAATATACGTTAGAGATTATTCTATATCAGTACCCAGAAAGTTGCCATTCTTTTTCTTTTCTCTGTGTAGAGTTGCCATTATTTTAATAACTGTATAGTATTGTAGGCTATATCTTAATTTACTTAACCAGTTTGTGACTGATGGACATTTAGTTTTCCAGTCTTTTGCTGTTGCAAAATAATGCCATAGTGTTTGTCCATAGCACTATTTTTTCTTAGTTTTTATCATTCCCAATCTGATTTGTACAGTGCAACAATGTGCTGGACTTTGGAATCACCTTTCCTGACTTTCAAGATATAGACATGCCACTTGCTGGGTGATTTTTTTTCTTTTTTTTAATATTTTATTCCATTTTATATATTCTCCACATAATTTTTCATTTCTGCATAATGCACGCACCTTCATCCCAGCTACACTCCCCATACAATTCCTACCCTCCCACCCTGACCCCAATCCCTCCTGCCCCCCCAGCACTATTGCTTGTTGATTTTTATTTTTACTTTATTATAATTAGTCTTTTTCCTGGCCTCTTATTTAGGTTTTCTAAGTTCCTGCTATGAGTGAGACCATCCGGTATTTTTCTTTTTTTTTCTGGCTTATTTCACTGAGCATGATCCCTTCCAGCTCCATTCACGTTGCTGCAAATTGCATGAGTCTTTTTTGATTGCTGAGTAATATTCCGTTGTGTATATGTGCCACATCTTCTTGATCCAGTCATCTATTTTTGGGCATTTGGGTTGTTTCCACAGCTTTTGATGAGTGACTTTTTTTCTTTTTCTTTTTTTATAACTTTATTTTTTTTTAAAAAGATTTATTTATTTATTTAAGCACTGGGTACAGTCAGAAGCATGGGAGAGTGAGAGAATTCACCAGAGCAGGGAGCAGAACAGGCAGACTGATGAACCAGCACTGCAGAGGCTGCGGGCAGCTTCGCAACCCAGCGCTCAACCACTGTGTCACCGGAGAGGCCCTTGCTGAGTGATTTTTTAGCAACGTTTCTGTGAACAAATCTTGTGTTTGGTATGGGATAGAGATGAACTTTTCGAGGGGGGGAATTACATCTCACCACCAGCCTCCTACTTTGCTGCACTGAGGAATGAAGAATTGACTTCATGAACTAATGAATTCAATATAACACAACAACAGATTTGAAGCCATTTCCTTAGAAATTAAACTCAAAGAAGTTGTTACAGACTAGGATATTCCAACTTATCTGGCCCTTTATGAATAAAGGGGTCGTGTTCTTTTGAAATATTCAAAATGTGAATGTAAAGATGTGAATGTAAAGAAAGAGACAGCTAGGGGCCTCCCCGGTGGCGCAGCAGTTGAGCGCTGGGTTGCGTAGCTGCCCGCGGCCTCTGCGGCGCCGGTTCGATCCCCGGCTGCTCCCCGGCCACCAGAGGAGGGTCCCACATGGCGCGCAGACCTCTCCTGCCGCCCGCTGCTCCCCTCAGCAGTGTACCTTGGTCCTTCTGCCTGCTCTGCTCCCCGCTCTGGCTCTGGTGAATTCTCTCACCCTCCCGCGCTTCTGACTGTACCCAGTGCTTGTACAAACAAACAAACAAATAAATAAATAAAATAAAATAAAAAAAAAAAAAAAAAAAAAAAAAAAAAAAAAAAAAAAAAAAAAGAAAGAGACAGCTATCTACTTCTCATTCCTAGGTACTCCATTTAACCCTAAAGAATGAATTTTGTAATAGCTCAGGTAATGCTGGTGTATTTCTTAATCTTTCTGAACATGATTGGGCTCGTCTTTATAAGAGGCAGGGTTTGTGGTCAGATACAGGTTTGAATCCTGGGCCCTCTACCTTGCAATGTACCATGTTAGTTTTCCTTTGTGTAAGTTACAGATAATAGCACCAAAAAAATAGATAAGCGTATCAAGTGTATACTGTGCCTGCCTGTATGTTAAGATCTTGACATGTATTTTCCTACTTAATTTTTGTGACTAGTTTATGAAAAATAGTTGCTATTAGTAACTTTGTTTTATAGTGGGGACTCAGGGGAATCAGGTTTCATAGTTAACCAGTAATTGAGCTGGGACTTTACCCCAGGCAGCTGATTATTATATAGTCTATTTTATTATTTTATTTTATTTTTTTTTGGTATTTGTCTAAATTTTATTTTTTTTCCCAAGGAGAAAATAACTTTAATTTCTTTCAATCCATATACCTCTATCTATTCACATTTCTTTTTTTTCCTTTTTTTTCTTTTTTTTTTATATTCCCCATACAATTGCAACCCCCTTATTTTGACTCCAATCCCTCCCCTCCCCACCCCCCACCCTCTATAGTCTATTTTAATCTTAGACTCTGGGCTATCATACAGGGATATCATGAGAAGGAGGAACAAGGTTGGCATAGTGAATGCTCCTGTTATATTAATGACCATAAAATCTGTCCATACCTTACTGTCTACCAAATTTAGAATCTGTTAAATTAAAAATTTCTTAGCCACTGAAAAATGAGAAACTGAGAGATAATTTATTAACCATGTGTGTTCCTTCTTTGGGCAGGTTTTCCTGTGCGGAGAGCCAGATACCAGTGGGTACGCTGCAGCCCTGACAATAATTCTGCAAACTGCATAGATGAAAAGGGACCAAGTTTTGAACTACCAGGCGAATCCAACAGGATCCTCCCTCTGAGGATTGACCCTTTCACGTATGTGAACTTTCTCTGATATTAAACCTCTTGGTATGGAGGTAGGAGAGTTACTGGAGTGTTGTTTTTCAAGTTCTTGCTTTGGGGGTTTGGTTTTTCTGCTCGGTAAATTGGTAAAACTGTATTGTATTTACTAGCATATGAGCTGTGCAAGGATAAACATTTCATCTACATTTTTGTAAGATCTTCTAGTGGCTCATAGAGACAAAAATTGAGTACTTTTTAGTAACAGTTATTGAAAATGATTGAATATTGTTTTATTTCTATAAATAGAGCATACTGAATATTAAACTCCATAGGAATTCAAAAACTGAATGAATAAACAAAATGTGGTATATCCATACAATGAAATATTATGTAGCCATTACAAAGGAACAAAGGAACTGATACATACTGTAAAATGAATGAAACTTGAAAACATTATACAAAGTTGAAAGACACCAAACACAAAAGTCACATATTGTATTTATATACAATAAAATGAAAGTCCATTTATGTGAAATGTCCAGAACAGGCAAATTCAGAGAACTCTGTGATCTGCATCTCTTAGGCTTTCAGATTTGTGACTGAGTGTTGGCCAATGGGAGACACAGAAAGGATATGACACGTATCTGAGGAAGGGAGAGACCTGGGTGTTTCTTTCTCACTCTCTGCCTTCATGGCACCTCTGGCAGGACTGTGCCTCATCCATGCTTTCAGCTCCCACCAGATGCCTCTGGTCCCTGGGCACCTCCTTCCATTGTCCCCTGAGCCCAGAATGGAAGCATTTTCTTGTTGTTGCTAACCTCTGGGTTATCTCACTTTCCCCTACTGGCTTGGCTCTCTTCCATCACATGTGTAAACAGTTCCCTCTGTGATAAATATTTAGATGACTTTCCTGATTCAGGTCTGACTAAGGCAGCTGCTCAGCCCACATCTTCATCTGCTGGGTATCCTATTCCCACTCATCTCCGTGCCATGAGTTCTACAGTTATCCCTCTTAAACTCAGCATTTTCTTCTCATTAGTACCAGACATACTGCAGTAGCTCCTACATTTAGGTAAAACCCCTCTTTGATTTCATTCTCTCCCTTTATTGCCATATTCTGTTCCTCTTCATAGTAATACTTCCTGAAAGGATTGTCAGTGCGTGCTATCTCCAACTTCTTCAACACCTTTTTGTGGACTTCGTTTCCTACCTTCCTCCCAGAGTGCTTGTTAAAGTCACAATTACTTCTGATGGACACATCCACTACTTACCACTCTAAACTTCTAAAATGCCTTAAAAACAGTAGACCAGGGCCTCCCTGGTGGTGCAGGGACTTAAGTCTTAGCATATGACGCTATCTGCAGACACTGAAGCATGCGTTCGATCCCCGGCCAGGGAGCTAACCTACATGGCAGAGAAGACCTCTCCTGTCTCTCCTACTGCTCCTCTCAGCATTATATTTCAGTCAATCTGCCTGTTCTGCTCCCCACTCTGTCTCTGGTGAATCTCTCACCCTCCATACCTCTGGCCTACACCCCAACTCTTTTTTTTTTTTAAAGATTTATTTATTTATCTATACAAGCACTGGGTACAGTCAGAAGCACGGGAGGGTAAGAGAACTCACCAGAGCCAGAGCAGGGAGCAGAACAGGCAGACCGACGAAATATACTGCTGAGGGGAGCAGCAGGCGGCAGGAGAGGTCTGCGTGCCATGTGAGACCCTCACAGGCGGCCGGGGATTGAACCAGCACTGCAGAGGCTGCGGGCAGCTTTGCAGTCCAGCGCTCAACCGCTGTGCCACCAGGGGAGGCCATATACCCCAACTCTTGAATGCATAAATAAATCTTTAAAAAAAAAAACAAAAAACAGTAGACCACCCTTGCTTTGAAATGCTTTCTTCTCTGGGCTTTCATGGCCCCACCTTATCGTGGGTTTTCTTTTACTTTCCTGGCTGTTCTTTCGCCTCTGCTCAATATTTAACATGTCGTTGCTGCGCTGGCTCTGTTCCGGGCCCCTTCTCTTTCTGCATGCTTTGTTTGACCTCATTGTGTTAAATGCTTTTGATACTCTCCCTGTCCCTTTCTCATTCACTGCCAAATCTGTTGACAACTCTGATTCCCTTTTCCTGATCCCACAATCTAAGCTAGCCACCTGTTTGCCCTCAATTACGTTAGATTATTTCATTTCTCTGCATAGTGCTTAGCATTACTTAATATTTTCTTGACTTATTCACTTTTTATTGGCCCTCTTCCCACTAAATTATGAACTTCTTCTATGAGCAGGGATGTCATCTATCTACCTCCTCTCTATCAGGCACTTGGAACAGGGATCAGGTGTTCAACAAATATTTGTTGATTGCATGCGTGGATGAAAACCCTTACCTGTTGTATGGCCTGTGGCTTATTGTTTGCATGGAGAAAATGACCCACAGACTCTGAAATTCAATTTTTGTTTGTGATATTTTGTTGCCTTGTTCTGCCACTTAGGAGTGTCACCATTGTTCTGTCTTCTGCTGCTGAGTGGACTTGTAGCTACCTCACTCAAATCAGACACAGCAGCCTATCCTTTTAGCAGGTTTTAGCTGAATTAACACATTATCTGAATGAATACATTTGAAAGCAGCATAATTTTGGGATATATTTTTGTGGGAGAAAATTCAATGTTACTAGGTTGGCAAATATAATGCTTAAATTATTTTGTTATAAAAAAGGGGAGAGAAAAGCACAAGGGACTATAGATGATTCATGGGTGAATTGGTGGTGGGAATTTTTGGGGAAATACACAATGATACAAAAGATATAAATAAAAATAAATTTAAAAAATGAAAATAAAAAATGGAAACAACCTGAATGTCCTATAATAAGGCATGATTAAGTACATATAGTACATACATGTACAATGTACAGGTATAATACAGTACTATTTTTTAACATGGCAGGTCTATATATTCTAACATGAAAAAGCTCTAAATTGTATTTCATAAAAAAACAAAAAGTCCCAAGTAAAAAAAATTGTTTTGTTGTAAAGAATTTCTTAAGAGTGAGTTTTGTGGAAGCACTGAAATTATTAGACTTTTGCACAAAGTTTAAGAAAAATGTCATCTATCAATGCTATCTTGTTTGTCCTTTCTTTAGTGGGAGAAAATAGACAAAATATCACAGAGGATAGAACTTTCCTCCCCAATGAATTACTCCATAAGTAAATTCTAATTGCTATGGGATTGCCATAGGATTGCTATGCTTGTGATGAGAAAATTAGCACAGTTACAGGAGTCTGCATTGGGTTGGAGTGTAGCTGATACATGCAATGAGTTAGGCAAACAGGTGGGAGAGGTGACTTGTTTTTAGTTTTAAAGCATTGAATAACTAGGAAACTTTTAAGACTTGAGCAGCTGGGTAGCTGCTTTTACTTTTTATTAAAAATTTATTATGATTATCTTCTTGTGGCTCAAACTTTACTGTGGTTGTTTTCATTTTTCTCTCATACTTTAGATTGACGAGATCCCAGAACTTGAATGATGACTTTCCTCTTTCTGAAGACGTTTCTGGATCAGGCTCTGGCTCTGGCAGCAGCTCTGAAAATGTCTTCCTCACTGATATTGAACAGGAATACCAACCAATAGATGAAAACCAAGCTTATCATGATCGTGCCGGGCAGGATTTTATTATATAAAAAAGAGAATTTCCCCACTTTGACACCAGGCAATGCATTCAGTATATTGTTTACGTGGTTAAATGATCTATTATGGAATAAAACCTTTTATAGAAACTTAAAAACACCTGAGAAGAAGCTTAAGGATTGTCATCTTGTTTCCCCATGATTTCTTAAAGACTCCTTCATCTGTTCTATTGTTCCAGAAACTACCAGCATTTCTTTTATATCACATTCAACAAACATCACTATAAATTAAATAAACTTCCCATGTCTATAAAATTGCTGAGGAATACATTATACTTTTTTAAAGCTGAGAAGAAAATCGACAGGTATTTCATACCTAATTCCTTAGAACCCCTGATTGTTAATTATTGATATGCCCCTTTTCTTACGGAAAGATCAAGATGAGACACACAGTGAATTTATAGAGTGGGTATATAACATGTTTGACAGTGTGACGTGTACTGCTCTAAAATTAACGCTGGGTGTGTTTGCAGAGCTAGTGGACGTCGTTTGTTTAGAAGGATGACTGCTTACTTAAGAGCCAAATAAAAGCACAGTTGTGTTCTCCACACCTCATACTGCTTTACTTTCCCCCCTGGATGTCAGTGTATTTTGCATTTTCAAATGTACCTCCATTAAAGCAGAAATAAACCAAAGGGATGGGTTGCATGGGATTTCTTATTCTAAACTCAAGAAATAATTATTTTTGTTCAGATGGTTCTATATGTCTTAGCAACAAAATAATTATACATTTATTTTACAGTGAGAATAAATTTTATAACTAGCAGCAAAACATATTCACCAGCAGATGAAGGAACAATTAGGCCAGGGCAAGAGGGTTTTGTCAAAGCACTTCTTCTTGAAGACTATTCTCCTCTCTGCTCCCCTTTGTTCTGAAAAGCTGTGAGTATCATTGTCATGGATGCTGCACTGTCCAGATCTCCTCTTCAGAACCAAGGACTTTCTCAAACTAATATTTGCTGAAGAAAGCCACCTTGTCTGGGGTCACACCTCCTCCCAGGGCAGCCTGTCCTCAATGAATGATTGATTGCTGTGGGCATATCAGTGCCTCTGCCTAGAACTTGGGGCAATTCAGAAGGGCTACCACAGATTCAGAGCTCCCTAAGGGTTCACCTGAGGCTTTGTTGGGATTGCTTTATGGTTCAATTTCTTTATTTAGTTTTGCTTCCTTCTTTTCCCTTCATAGATGTCACAGATGTCTATTCTGAGAGTGTGCCCTTTAGAAACTTGCTACATGTTAGTTTTCATCTCCAAATTTGCTCCATGGAGAATCTGACCTGTGATATTTGCCAGGATGGTAGAAAGCAGATGCTCTAATGGGATTTTGGAGCTAGTTCACCTGCTGCCTGACTGGCAATGGGAACCCTTGGTGGTAGATGCAATATAGGTACAAGACAGCATTGCAATTGTTAAAATTTTCGCTGGTGATGAGGTGGAATGAAGTATACACCTGGGCACAATATCAGACATTTTAAAGATAATGGTATTGGGTGGCTATTGTTGGAGGTAATTAATGCTTTTGAAAGAGATAATAAAAAGCCATGGATAATCAATTAAGGGATAAATGCAAAAGCCAATGGGTCTCCTTGGCAGTATATTAAGAAACACCTTCCTGCTGTGGAAGGGCAGAGAACCAGGCCCAGGATGTAATCGTGAGAATAGCAGAATTCAAGAAGGTTATATTGTCAACCTAACCCAAGTCTGTTATGCAAGGTCAGGGGAACAATAGGAAACAAGGGGACCCTGAGAAGTGGGGACATCTGGATTAATACTTTCGGGTCTTCAATTCTGAGACTCCCTTGAACTTTCTGAGCTTATAGAAAAGGCCCACTCCTTAAGAACTAATGCTTCTCTTGGGCTTGAAGGTGATGATTCTCTTTCCTTTAAGACCACATGCACCCTCCCTCTGGGCCTGTCCCCACCCTCCCTCCTGGCCACCAGATCAACAACTAAGTTTACAATGTAAACCAACAGAGAAGTGCTGCCTTTACTAAAGAAATAAGGTAACAGACACTGAGGGACTGAAGGTCCCTCACAAGGTGAGAAATATCTATGAGACTTAATGCTAAGGGATGGAGGTAAAACTTAAAGTTGGAGAAGGTAGTACTTAGCACTCTCCTGAGATGCAAGTTTCAACATCTTTGCAAGAATCCTGGAAGAAGGTATTGGCATGTTGCTAGAACAGCTCTTAGAAATTCAGAGAAAGTGACAATCCCTTTTAAGTAAAAATGCTAGAACTGCAATGGCAGGCAGTGGAAGACAAGGTCAGATGGTTAAAGGGAGAGAGAAAACATGCTCAATTGAACAGACTGGGTAAGTCTTGAAAACCCACCAAAAGACTTTGCTCTGCAGGAAGGCCAAACAGTGAAGAATATACTGAGAGTATCTCCGAGCTGTCAGTGGAGACTTCCCTCTGAAAGGCAGGTTGATGGTAGCGAGATTTATAGAACTGGGCTCACTAATAACAATGACAGGTCTGGTAATAGCAGCGGTCAAGAGGTAGTGCTCAGCCATTAGAGGCAGATTGTGCCATTATCACAGTGAGCACTAGTGTCTGACTGGAAGAGATGCCTAATGAGCAAAGAGTGAGGGAGATGGCATCCCTAGAAGTAATATGCAACAATAAAAAAAGACAAAGTTCTGGCTTGAATACTAATTTCACTGTAACAAGGCAAGTTACTTAATTTTTCTTTTTCTTTTTTTTTTTTTTTTGTGGCTGACTCTGAGCGGTTTAAATATATGGAACGCTTCACGAATTTGTGTGTCATTTGCAGGGGCTATGCTAATCTTCTCTGTATTGTTCAAATTTTAGTATATGTGCTGCCGAAGCGAGCACAAGTTACTTAATTTTTCTAAGTTTGTGTTGGGAAGGCAATGTAGTGCAGGGGTTAATTGTAGACTCTCTGGAACAAAAGTAAAGTTCTGTCACTTATCCAAGGGATGACCTTGGATGGGTTGCTTAACTGCTCTGTACCTCATTTTCTTCCTTTTTAAAATAAGGATACTGATAGTGTCTATAGATTTATTAAAAATTATATGAAATAATATATGTAAAATGTAACAATGTCATTGAGTGATCAGTAAATATGAGCTATTATCATTATCTATACTATAAGTAAGCACTTAATGCCCTACCGTAGGGTTGTAGTGAAGATTAAATAAGGCAATGTTTGAGATACAATTAGTTCAGTGCCTGGAATATTAAGTAAGCCCCTAAAAAATCATGATCGTGAAAACATGTGTAAGAGTTGCTTCATAAGATTATTTTATATTTTAAAAATTTTTATTTATTTTTAAAAAAGATTTATTTATTTATTTATACAAGCACTGGGTACAGTCAGAAGCGTGGGAGGGTGAGAGAATTCACCAGAGCCAGAGTGGGGAACAGAACAGGCAGACTGACAAAATACACTGCTGAGGGTGCAACAGGGTGGTCCCCAGGAAAGGCGGAGGTTCCCTGCCCCACCCAAGGGAGGGTGGAGCTGAGCAGGAAGAGGAGAAGCTGCAGAAGAGACTGAGGAAGGAAGCAGGATGGAGCCAGGAGACCTGGAGGAGGCACATGGAGCCTAGAGACACGTGAAGAAACTGCGCTTGTCTTTTGGTCGTGGACTGGGTGACACAGATGTGGGTGAGACCCGTGGGGAGGTGACAATGGCAGCTTTTATTTTGATGTTGATTTTGCTCTTTTCCTTCCGGGCTTGTCTGGTTGTTTGTGACCTTTTTCTGTGGGTCCCCACTGGAAGATGCTTTAGACTTGTGGCAGGCTTTGGGGCCTTGCTCTGGGCCAATCCCATTTGGATGGACTTTTACCCACGAGGGGACGGGTAACTCTGGATGTTTCATTTAGAAACTAGACTCTTTGCCTTACCTGTATTGTTTCCTAGTTTTATTAAAGTTCCTTCCCATTAAAGTCTCCTATGTTTTGTGTTGATGCGGCGGATGGCAGAACCCATGTAGAATAGGCAGGTTTGCGGGGTTTGGGCTGCCCCTCTCCATGTCCTATAACAGATTTGGCGACCACGAAGATTTAGGACAGCCATCCGTGGTTAGTCAGCCCCATGGGGAAATTGGGCTTCCCTATGGCACTGGCTACCATAAGCGCAAATGTGATTTTTGGTTTCTCCGGTGTGTTTGTTTCATATGTCGGACATGGAGAGGGGCAGCCCAAACCCCGCAAACCTGCCTATTCTACATGGGTTCTGCCATCCGCCGCATCAACACAAAACATAGGAGACTTTAATGGGAAGGAACTTTAATAAAACTAGGAAACAATACAGGTAAGGCAAAGAGTCTAGTTTCTAAATGAAGCATCCAGAGTTACCCGTCCCCTCGTGGGTAAAAGTCCATCCAAATGGGATTGGCCCAGAACAAGGCCCCAAAGCCTGCCACAAGTCTAAAGCATCTTCCAGTGGGGACCCACAGAAAAGGGTCACAAACAACCAGACAAGCCCGGAAGGAAAAGAGCAAAATCAACATTAAAATAAAAGCTGCCATTGTCACCTCCCCACGGGTCTCACCCACATCTGTGTCACCCAGTCCACGACCAAAAGACAAGCGCAGTTTCTTCACGTGTCTCTAGGCTCCATGCGCCTCCTCCAGGTCTCCTGGCTCCATCCTGCTTCCTTCCTCAGTCTCTTCTGCAGCTTCTCCTCTTCCTGCTCAGCTCCACCCTCCCTTGGGTGGGGCAGGGAACCTCCCCCTTTCTTGGGGACCACCCTGTTGCAATCCCCCCTTTTAATTTTGTTTCACCATATAACAAGGGGAGCAGCGGGAGCAACAGGAGAGGTCTGTGAACCATGTGGGACACTCACCGGTGGCCGGGGATTGAACCGGTGCTGCAAAGGCTGCGGGCAGCTTTGCAGCCCAGCACTCAACTGCCTGCGCCACCAGGGGAGACCCATAAGATTATTTTAAAGATTTATCTGTGTTCCAGGCACTGTACTAAGTGCTAGGGATACAGAGATGGAAGTACCAGATGACCTTTTTCCTTGCGTTTAGAGTCTAACAGGGATTGAATGGCAGTGGGTATTTTCTGTGGCCTGAAGGAAGGTAGACAGAGGTAAATATTTTCAGGCAACTAGGGAAATAGTACATAATTTAAGTAGGTTCTTTCTAATTCTTACTTTTACCTTTTGAGTTCTATTTGTCAACCAATTATTTATCACAGTTTATAGGGAGTTGTGGGAGGTGAGGAGTTGGGGCTTCTTACAATTTGTATTTTTGAGTAACTTTCTAATTCATAGTCACTTTTTCTTACATTATGCAATCAACCAACACCTACAAAGGGCCAAGACCTCGGGAATAAACACAATTTTAAGACTGCTCACAATCTAGTGGAAGAAACATATAAATAACTGTGATACATTTTACATTGTAGTATTTTCCCCTCGAATGCTATAATAATTATAGACAAAATGCTAAATTAGCAAAGGAAAGGCAATGATTGATTTTTGCAGAAGCTTTTTATCTCCATTCCTCAGCATGTGGACTGTTTTACCATTCAGCTTAAAATATTAATACAATTTATCAATCAGAACTCTTATTTGTCTTAATAGGTTTATACTAAACAAGGGTTGTTCAGTGTTGGCATTTTTGACATATTAGACAGGACATTTCTTTGCCATAGAGGGTGTGTCCTATGCATTGTAGGATGCCTAACAGCGTTCTGAG